GAATCCTCTTAAGTATGTAACCTGAGCAACATAACAATACCTTTATTATTGTTTTTAAAATTTGCACCATGAGTTTACAGATAATTTTGTTTCACTGGCTCACACCAAACTAATATCTTTGATAACTTTTGCTTTCAGGACAGAGATTTGTTTGCTCTAACTGAAGTCATTGGACTAAGGCCTTGTGCTGCAACCAGCACTCTTTTTGAGGAGTTATTTGTGAAGCTGCATTTTCCATGTGCTGACAGTTTCTAAGAAACAAATCATTTTCTTCTCTTACAAAAAATATACCCAACTAAGATATCTATCCCCTGACAAAGGGGTATTTGTTCCAGCAAAAATACAAATCCGTTTTCACCAGAAATCTATAAATGGAAAAAGAAAAAATAAAAGCAACCTATATCAGGAACCCAGAGTGATTTTCTTATGTGCATGACTGGACATTTTCAGTGTTCATTATAATTTGAAATTAGCTCCTCATTGCCATTGGTTAACTGACACTTGTGCTAAGAAAAGTAATGTAGCATCTGATCTCTTCCAAAAAAGAGAGAGCCAAATGTCTCAGGACTGCTGTTGGTTCACATTTTGTACTGAATGTTTCAATTTCAAAAAATATAATTGTCATTTTAAAATAATAAAAAGATTAGCTTCTTTGCTTAAAGATCAAATATAATGGAAAATAATGTAAACATCCAAAAGCTTGAATTCATTCCTAACTGGATTCATCTTTACAGGCAGGCAATGTTAAGTCTCTCATAGTAGTCCAAAGAAATTCATGGAATAATACATGCATTTTCATTGACACAAAAAAAGACTGGACTGTAAGGAAGCAAAACTACCTCAGTCATATCACACAGTTATTGTGAAAGAATAATGTGCTATAATCCAATACCTAGGACACATGTATACCCAACTTTAGAACAGCATCACTTAGACTGGAAACAACAGAACAGATTACTATAGGAAAACATTTATAAAATACTGTACACTGCTTCCTCAGTCGGCCAGCATATGTAAACAAACAGCTAAGTTCAGTTGAGTTTCAAAATATTATTTAAAGTTAATTTATCTTATAATCTTTTGCATAACATGCCAGTTCATCTTTCACACTATCACAACCCACCTGTCACAGCCCACAGTGGCTCATTAGAGATTTATACATCAGCTCATATGGACATTTATAGTGGAGCTATACAGAGGAATGAGTGATCCATACAGAACTTTCGCACTGTGACCAGAAATGCATATTCCATATGTATAATGGAAAGTGGAACTTAATGCTTGATGCAACATGTGCTATTTTATTGAATGTTACAAATTTACAAATATGACTTTATAATGTGATGTTAGAACTGTCCTGTAACATTCACTAATCTTATCACATGTCACAACCATACTGGATTATACATGGGAGATATGTATATATGTGAATATATATATATTTCATAAGCTATCATTTGATACAGAATATGTCATATGGCACATGCTATAGTTGCACAATAATGGATTATAAGACTTTTACTCTCACTAAAAGGTCATAATAGTATTGGGAGTAGGAAATCTGATCCCATTGCAAAGAATGGGTGTTTTGCCATCAGTTTCAAAAGGAGGCAGCTTGATGCAGTGTTTAAAAAACCAGGTGAAGATAAAATAATCTAACATCCATCATAATATACTCTATATACACCATATTTCAGAATAAATGGGAAACATTCAGGAAAAGCAGTGGTCTGACATCTTGCAACACACTCTTAACATCTGGATTTACATTTTATATATAATGGTAAATTATAAGAAGGAAATAAAGTGTCCTGTTCCATTTTACCTGGAAAGTGTGCTTCAGATCAATAAAGTGCTGTATTCAAAACATTTATACAGCTTCTGGGTTTGGCAAATTCCTTTACCCTGACAAACTAAGCAATGAAACCTACCCCAGAGGAGAGCCCTGCACCTTGAACTAATTCACTAATCAGTGTTGTGGGATTTCTAACAAATGTGAAATTCCTCTAGGATAGACCAATAATATGATGGGGATGGAAGAGTTTGTGGATACATTCATTAAAAGTAACAAAGAAAACAAAACAAAACAACCCCCCCCACCCCAAACCCACCCAGGAAAGATAAAACACCACTCAAGTCAGGATTCCTCCAGTGGGTGCATGCAGCCAGGGGAGACAGCATGCAACATGGCTATGGAGGATCCTCTTGCACCTCTCCTGGGAAGCCTGCATGCTCGATTGGCTCTCTGAAATGCCTGTACACCAATGAACGCAGCATGGGGAATAAACAGGAAGAGTTAGAGATGCGTGTGGTCGCAGGGCCATGATCTCATTGCAATTACAGAGACATGGTGGGATAGTTCACATGACTGGGATGCTGTCATGGATGGCTATGTGCCTTTTAGGAAAGACAGGCCAGGAAGGTGAGGTGGTGGAGTTGCTCTTTATGTGAGGGAGCAACTAGAATGTGTGGAGCTCTGCCTAGGGGTGGATGAAGAGCAAGTTGAGAGCGTATGGGTAAGGATTAAAGGGCAGGGTAACATGGGTGACACTGTTGTGGGGGTTTCCTACAGGCCACCTGATCAGGAAGAGGAAGTAGATGAGGCCT